TGTTCATTTTTTTAATTGTATCCTTTGGTATATATGGTTGTGACAATTTTCTTCCACTATTTGATCTGAGGAAGTGGGTCTGGCCCACGAAATCTCATCACCTAATAAACCATCTTGTTAGTCTTTAAAGTGCTACATAGTCCTGTTTTTTGTTTTTATAAGGACTCCCCAGTTTCCTTTCTAAAGTAATTTTGGTCTTTCATGTAAATTGAGTGTATTAATTTACCAGTGTCTTTCAGAAAATCTAATAGACTTTTTATATTCACATCCAGTCCTACTAAGGAAACAGCTGTCTCCACACAACACATATCCAGATGGATATCAAGTTGCATAAATACTTGCTACAGACTTCGAAACAGAGCCACTGCAACTAGTCACTGCCCATTCTACCAAAGTGATGGCTGCATCAATTGCCTTTTTATGCAACGTACCACTAGCCAACATCTGCAGGCCAGCTACATGCTCTTCCTCACATACTTTCACACAACATTATGCACTTCAGCAAGGACCAGTTCTTACCACATCTGTGGGTGACACCATCCTTGCTTCTTCTAGCAGATGACTCCAATGGCCCACCGCCACCACTGTGGCTACTGCTTTTCAGTCACCTGAGTGGAGCGCCTACAGGGACAATACTCAAAGGAGAAGAAGAAGTTGCTCACCTTGTGCAGTAACAATGGTTCTTCGAGATGTGTGCCCCTGTGGGTGCTCCACTACCCTCCCTTCCTCCCCTCTACTCTGGAGTCAATGATAATATTTCTGGTAGAAAAGAAATGGAGGGAGACTTGCACCGCACACACAGCTAACAGACAAAAACAGTGCAAGACAGCTGCTGCACATGTGCAGCACAAGAAAGTACTGATGGGATAAAAATCTCTGTTCACTGGTGCAAGGATTCACCAACACCTGAGTGGAGCACCCTCAGGAACACACATTTCAAAAAAACATTGTTACTGCACAAGGTGAGTAATTTCTTCCTTTAAATTTATGTCACCCCCCCCCCACCTTTGAACTTTTCTTGAGTGTTTCTTTATGCTATCATGTACCGAAAGCATCCGTCTGCTATGTACATTGGACAAACATCTCAGACACTTAGTCAAAGGATCAATGCCCACAAAACAGATATTAGACAGGATCACAAAGAAAAAACAGTTTCCTGCCATTTCAACCAGCAAGGACATTGTCTCAATGACTTGATTGCCTGCATCCTGCTTCAAAGGCCTTTTAAGACTACACTTGAAAGAGAAACCTCTGAACTGTCATTCATGCTTAAATTCGACACTTTACACTTAAGTTTGAATAAAGACTCTAATTATCTTACCCATTACAAAGATAGTTTCTCCAATTATCACCTCTAATATCATTAGCTCACAGACATTTACTCCCCCCCCCACCCGTCCCCCTTCTGTTCTGAAATTTGATTTGTCCTTTTCATATGTGTTCATTTTTTTAATTGTATCCTTTGGTATATATGGTTGTGACAATTTTCTTCCACTATTTGATCTGAGGAAGTGGGTCTGGCCCACGAAATCTCATCACCTAATAAACCATCTTGTTAGTCTTTAAAGTGCTACATAGTCCTGTTTTTTGTTTTTATAAGGACTCCCCAGTTTCCTTTCTAAAGTAATTTTGGTCTTTCATGTAAATTGAGTGTATTAATTTACCAGTTATTTACCCAAACCATGCACATAACATTAAATCCAAGTTACCCAGATGTATACATAATGGGCCAAAGCAGAATCCCAGAAACAATTCGATACTTTTTTGGAGTTTTAAATTCAGATTGAATGGCTCAGAAACTTGGCTTGTTATAATCAATGCTGTAGTGGTCCGTCTGCCTTACTGTAGTGGTGGTAATTCGATGTAGTCTCCTTTTCACAGTCTTTGACAATCTTTAAATTACATGGCTCTTGTCTCTCTCTTCCTGCCAGACCCCTGACATGGAGCTGGTTGGTACTGTAAGCAGTATTGCTCTTTAGTACAGTAGGGAAAATATTTACAGTAGTGCCTGACTTCTAGGGAAAACATTAATTAGTGATGACTTATTTGAAAGGTTGGCAATCCATAGAAATCTTTAAAAAGCAACCCAGGCTAAATCAGAAAGGACCCTTGAAATATGCTGTGTTCTTAAATCATTTATTCTTAGATACAAATTCCAGATATTTTCAAACAGAGAACTATCTTATATAATGTCTTGTATTAGCAGGTTTGGATTTGTACTACTGTGATCTGCTCAGAGGTATCAGAACCATGTATCTATCATAATACCAGCCCAATCATAATTATAGCTAAAAGCTTGTCACATTAGAAGTCATTTTTTTGGAGCAGGGAGGAGTTCTGAATTTCATTCCAGGAAGTTCCTTGTTTTCATAGGCTGCGACTAGACTTGCAAGTTTTTCCGCAAAAGCATTTGCTTTTGAGGAAAAACTTGCCAGCTGTCTACACTGGCCGCTTGATTTTGTGCAAAAGCACTGACGTTCTACTGTCCGAAATCAGTGCTTCTTGCGCAAATGCTTTGACATTCCCGTTCGGGCAAAAGCCCTTTTCCGGAAATGTTTTTGTGCAAGAGGGCCAGTGTAGTCAGCTAAAAACTGTTTTGCGCAAAAAAGCCCCGATGGCGAAAATGGAGATCAGAGCTTTCTTGCACAAAACCACGTCTAGATTGGTACGGACGCTTTTCCGCAAAAAGTGCTTTTGCAGAAAAGCGTCCATGCCAATCTAGATGCTCTTTTCCGCAAATGCTTTTAACGGAAAACTTTTCCGTTAAAAACATTTGCGGAAAATCACACCAGTCTAGACGTAGCCATAGTGTTTAGGAAAGTGACAACCACATTATGGGATTAATATTAGACTCCTATTATTTGAACATATATTTTTATTATTTAATATCTCAGTAGGCATGTATTGGAAAAAGTCATACGCAGGCTAATAAAACCTTCCAGGTCTCGTATAATGTAAGAAAAGAAAAGCTGTCACTTAACAGCAAGTCATTTTAAATGATTGACTAGAAGTTACTGCCCACTAGGAAGTCTTCATATTCCAGCTGAGCTTCTTTTATTCCTTTTTTGGCCTCTTTACAGTTTGGTCTTTTGTAAATTCATATTTTCATTACATCCATAGTAAGAAATATTCTGTAGTAAACCAAAGCCGGGCAATACTATAAGAAAATACACTGAGGAAATATGTTTTCAGCAGTTGGTTAGAAGCAACTGTGCACTGCAGTTGGAAGCCATGGTTTCCTAAATTACACAGGTTAAAATAATAAAAAGGCACTTTAACAATGGATATAGAAATCTGAGAATAAATTTACTTTTCCCAGTATAAGACTGTGATTGATACTGCTTGAAACCAGGTACAAATAACATCTGAAGAGACTACATCATTTTATAATCCTGCCACACTGTCACATAAACTGTATTTCATACATAATCTTACCAATTACTGTGATGAAAGGAAACACATCCACTCTTTATAAAATTATTATTAATGGCCTGTAACGCTATATAGCAAGCTATATTGTTAGATGGTTACAAGGTATATTCTTATAAGGCCTGAAACAATGATTGTTCTAAGTACAATAAAATGTCCATTTTCAGTATCATAATATTTCTACTCATAGACTCATAGACTTTAAGGTCAGAAGGGACCATTATGATCATCTAGTCTGACCCCCTGCACAATGCAGGCCACAGAATCTCACCCACCCCCTCCTAGAATAATCCTCTCATCTATATCTCAGATATTGAAGCCTTCATATACTTTGAAGACCCCAAGATGAAGAGAATCCTCCAGCTGTGATCTGTGCCCCATGCTACAAAGGAAGGCGAAAAACCTCCAGAGCCTCTGCCAATCTACCCTGGAGGAAAATTCCTTCCCGACCCCAAATATGGCGATCAGCTAAACCCTGAGCATGTGGGCAAGACTCTACTGTTTGAGTCACTGTCATATTATGACATGCAGAACTAAGAATTCCTGGGGCTTGGTCCCTGCAGCCTCATTTCTGCTATGGCAATCCAGCTACATTGCGCAGAGGTGTAAAAAACCGACATCCCTGAGTAACATACTTAAGCTGATCTAATCCCCAAGGTAGACAGCAAGAAGTTGGTGGAATAATTCTTCCATTCAGTTAGCTAGTACCTCTCAGGGAAGTAAAATATTTACACTTAAAAGAGACCCTCTTCCATCAGCATAGGTAGTGTAGTGCTACAGCGGCATGGCTGCAAGGTTGTTTTTTCACAGTTTTTTTTAACTTTTAGAATGGTAACAAAATTATTTTGCTGTGACTTACATTTTGGTTTCATTCCACCTAAGGTAGAGTCCTTTTAAGGTGTTTATAGCTTTACAAATCTTGATTTGCATTTTAAAGCATATCTGACATTTCCAAAGCTCGCATATCTTTTGAACAGAAAACATATTTAATCATTTAAAACAGATATGAGGACTGCATCAAAAATGGTAGCCTGTGCTTTGTTCTTCAATGCTACAACAATTTTAATAATATGATAAGATAAAGTTTGTCAACTGTCAGGTAGAATTGGCTGGAAGAAATTGAGGAAATTATAGACAAACAATAGCATGGGAGTCAATCATACTAGATACAGCGCTCAGGTCTACTCATAAGAATCAACAGTAATATCAATATACAGAACTTGTCAGACTATGAGGTAATTATTGAAGAAAATGTCTGGAAGGGAAA